GGCCACGTAAAATTGCCTGGCCCTCGGCTGTTAGCTCTCGTAATTTGAGCATGGTTAAATTTCTGATAAATGAAATAAAAGCCGATGTTAATGCTAAAAACTCTGATCGCAACACAATTTTGCACGTGGCTGTTAGATCTGGTAACTTGGACATGGTTTAATTTCTGATAAATGAAATAAAAGCCGATATTAATGCTAAAGACTATTATGAGAACACATTTTTGCACACTGCTGGTAGCTCTGGTAACTTGGACATGGTTAAATTTCTGATAAATGAAGCAAAGGCCGATGTTATAATGCTAGAAATATTGATGGCAACAGAATGTTGCGAAGCTTATCGATATTGTCGCCTGGATGTGGCTCTTTTTTTACATAATAGTCTTTGAGAGAAAGTTTTTAACATTATTAGCTAGTTCAGCAAGTACTTCTATGCTGAGTGATTTTTGAAAAATTTATTTCACGCTTTCGTTAAGTGCGAGCCATATGTTGTTAACTAACTTTATGTATATCATATAAGACATATTAATTTTTATTATTGAAAAATGTACAATGAAAAAAATAAAAGAATTTAATATGTCTTATACGATAAACCTAAAGTTAATTATGCCCGAAAACAAATATCTCTTAGTGCTAAAATAAGAAGCAATCGTTCGATTCTTCCGAGATTAATGCTATGTACAAACTCCTTAGCCAATTTCGAAAGTCTTTTAAAACGTATACCTCCCCACGNTTATCGATATTGTCGCCTGGATGTGGCTCTTTTTTTACATAATAGTCTTTGAGAGAAAGTTTTTAACATTATTAGCTAGTTCAGCAAGTACTTCTATGCTGAGTGATTTTTGAAAAATTTATTTCACGCTTTCGTTAAGTGCGAGCCATATGTTGTTAACTAACTTTATGTATATCATATAAGACATATTAATTTTTATTATTGAAAAATGTACAATGAAAAAAATAAAAGAATTTAATATGTCTTATACGATAAACCTAAAGTTAATTATGCCCGAAAACAAATATCTCTTAGTGCTAAAATAAGAAGCAATCGTTCGATTCTTCCGAGATTAATGCTATGTACAAACTCCTTAGCCAATTTCGAAAGTCTTTTAAAACGTATACCTCCCCACGTTTCACGTATCACATCGCTCTGGTATTATCAATTCTTAAGAAAACATTACAATTCCTTCAATGTTCTGCATAATGCTTTATCTCGAAAAATGCTGCATGTAGGGTAGAATGGTATCACACATACTTGTAACGCATCCTAACATCTCCCCCCCCCCCTCCTGAAGTTGGTGAACTACTGTGAAATACACGCCTATTTTGTTTTCACACGTCGCTTGTGTAATATTTTGTTAGCGCAGCGTAAGATTTATGTTTTAACTAACAGACTTTTCCTGCAGTGTGGCTGTATTGAACTATAGTTCTTTTAATAAATAACGCACATGCGAATATTTAATGAACAAAGAACAAAAAAAATTAAATAAAGAACTAAAAAGGAAGACAAGGCAAGAAAATTAAAACGAACATTAAAAAGAATATAAAACTAGATGAAAGGACCAAAATATCTTCTCGTAATATCAACGATGATGATGTAAAATGTAAGCGAAGCCGATAATATATGCATCATCTGCAATCAATTTGGACGAGACAATGAAATGTGTTATACATTCTCCCGAAAAATATGAGTGCGATGAGTGTACAATACGCTGACCACGATTACTAGCAACGTGACTAAAGTTGCTGTAGGCAACGATTATTTTTTATAACTTTAATTTGATTTTTTACTTTTTACTTACAATTTATCGCCTGAAGTTTATGAAACGTTACTTTAAATAAATATATTACCTGATATGTTGATTCTGTTGTAATTTTTGCTTAAATGACTACCATTGCTCCACTCTCCCCTAACTCCAAAACCCATAAGCAGTGTAATTACTGTAAAATGCCCCTCATGTATATATGTATTGGTATATTTTTTGCAGTGTATTTTTTTTATATCTTTCCGAAGTTTAATATTTCATCGTGTTTCCTTGTGGAATAATATTTTATTTTTTATATTCGGAAGCATTTTTTTAGGGGGAAAGGGTTAACATTTCTTGGAGGTTTTTTGAACGGTTTATATTAATAACTTTTAAACGCTTCTTTGGTGCAAGCTTGGAGCTAGGGCGATGCTAGGATGATCGGCGGGCATTAGGCGCTGGTCGAACGAAACGACCAAATTCGAAAGAAGCGACGAACGTCGACACGCAATTTACGATCACGATTACAGTTTACAATACGGAATTATAATATGACGAATACGGTTTACGACTTTGGCGTGCAATTACTAGGATTATTGTATATTGCTTTACTGTATTTTTGTATTGTCTTTTGCGTGTGTCACCCTATTTAGTAATAAATAGGATAGTTTTCAAAACCTCTAAATTAGTGTAACTCTTGTTGGGACAGACATGTAAGGACTGGATTAAAAATCTTCTTATTTGCAGTCTGTCCAATTGAATTTTCATATGAGATCGCTTGAGTTTTCCGTCTTTTACTATAATTACGTTATTAAGTATCCTCATGATGAAGTGTTCTTCGATCAGGGTTTGTAGATCTTCGTGGAGTTGGTTATGTCACTTGGTTGTTCACTGTCGTAGTCTGAACTAGAAGATTCTATTTCTCCGATTTTTAGTCAAAATTTTCGTTCATCAATGCACAAAAAGATACCATAAGATACTTACTTGACCAAACAGTTACCAAGTTTGTCAAACACAGCGGTACGAAATATGACGATCGAACTTTTTCTTGAATGTCGTATGTCGATACAATATTTTCCGTAGTTTCGCTAATTTTAGAAATATCGCAATTAAATTTTCAGGACATATTCAGAATGGAATTAAAAATCGATTTCTGCATTTTACGCAAGAACTGCTTGATTGCCCTGAGGCCGTTCTTGTATCCGAGGTTTCAATTGCGTAAAGATGTAATGGAAAATTGGGTAAAACAAGTTGGGCTCGTGAAAAAAGTCGGGGCGATCATGTGAATAATATTGTGTACCACGATTGATGTAACGCAATGGGCTTCATATTAAAATAAAGAAATCTGGTATGTCTCGAATAGTTCGCGTTTTATTTCAATTTAAAGATGTAACACTCAATTTGGACAACCCTACAGATCCCCTTCTTATTTATTGATCATAAGGTATGCGTGGATACATATTATGCTTTTGGTATTCCACTAATTGCTGTACTGGCGTTTCTAATATTACGTTTTGTGGTACAATTGTAAGCTCAAAAACCCGAAAAGGACGATCGAGTGTTTCAGATGGAGCGTCGGACAGACGGATCCGCGAACAGAGTGAGAAGTAGGGGTAGTTGAATAGGAGAAATCAATTGACCCCAAAGATTATGCGATTTAACGCCGTTAGATTTTTTCCTACGTGTTCTTTTTTTAAGCTTATGTCAATAAACCACGAGCAATTGATGAAATAAAAAAGAATATCAAAACCGCCACTAATGAAATAGAATCCAATTTATGTAATAATGCAATGAAAAATTAAATAAAACGAGTCGGGCTTGTGAGAAGAAATCGGGGCAGTCATATGAACGATATTGTGTTCCACGATTAATGTTATGCAATATACTTTATATTAAAATAAAGAAACATGAAATATCTCACATAGTTTGCGTTTTATTTCAATATAAAGATGTGACACTTAATTCCAATAATCCTATAGATTCCCATTTTATTTGTTGATCATATTACGATTTTGGTATTCCGTTAATTGTGGTACTGGCGTCCCTAATACTACGTTTTGTGGTATAAGTGTAAGCTCGAAAACCTGAAAAGGGTGTTCGTTCTATGTAAATGGACGTCTGAGAATATTAACTTTCATAACAAAACAATTCTATTGAATCTTACCTCTGCACCTGGAGGTGATCCTAATGCGTAAATCACTGTGTCAGCAATATTTTTGCC